ATGCTATTCTAGTCCACAGGACCACTGAGAAGATCAAAATTAAATACTGTACATGCAGGTGCTTTGGAAACAAATTTCAGTACTAAAGAGAATCACTACTAAACTCCTCCTGCATTGTAGACTCTAGTTCAAGAAAGTAGTGCTACCTGCTTCCAACAGGTCCTGCTGACCCTGAGGGTGACTAAAAGAAGCCTACCCCCTTTCCTGCTCAGAGGCAGGAGGTCACAGTCACAAGATCAGCCACCTCCTGCTGGTTAAAGGAAACCACCCTTTAACTGGCATTTCTCCTCTGCCCAAGCAGGGAAGAAGCAAGCTCTAATCAGACCACTGAGAAGGCACCAGCAGAGACGGCAGGCAGGGTCACTATCAGAGAACAAGGAACAGGCCCAGCCTGACTGCTAGATTCAGGCGCGCCCATACAGACTCATAGGGGCAGAGGACAGGCCCAAAACCAGGGACAGAACACCTACAGCCTTCTCAGGGCAGAAAGAGGGTTCTCACCATCGACATCTGCCTATCTCCTAGAAGGAGTCCTACAATTCCCAAGTGCAGGTGCAGTGAGCTGGGCACTACTCAGCATAGGGCTGTGTGCATCTGGCAGAGGAATGCGAGAGGCAGGAGATGCAGCTGCATCCCTCTAAGAGGCTACACCAAGACTCAAACAGAAAATAAATAGCAATTCAACATCACTGAAGATAACCTTTCTGAGCCATTTCCTCATCTGCAAAACAGAGATAGCCTTTATCACATATGATTTGAGTAGGGATTAAATGAGGTTGCTTTTATATAGTGCCTGACACTACTCTGTAGATACTCAATAAATGGTAATTATTATTAAAACACATACCCCAACAGAGATGTCACAGGGCAGGCTAGGCCTCATGCCAAAGTTATGGATAAACAATAAGGGAAAAGGATTCAGTGGGCTAGGAAGACATCCCAAAAGCGGGGGAATCTGAATGGACCCTGAAAGCTACTACAGTGAGTTAGGCATGCCCATGTTCAATCTTTACCTTGGTCTTGGTGATGAGGCAAGTCAGGTTCAGAGAAATGAGGTGCATGAACCCCCAAGGTCCGTGGTCACACAGGTATCGAGAAGGCAGTGTCAGGCAGAACCCAGGGTTTCTGACCATATTTTCCTTTATACGAGAGCTGGTGGGATGAGGTTAGCTGGGAAGGAGAAGAAAGGCGAACCTCATGGGTTCTCAGCTGAATGAAGTCTGGGCAATCTGACCACCTAGGTCCTGTAAGTGTCTTGGACTTCCTAAAGACACATATCCTACCTGAAGTCCTCCTCTCAATCCCCAACTGACCTCCCTCCCACTGTTCTGCAGTCAGTCTGTTGACTTTCCAAAGAGAAAAAAGTCACCTCTTTCTTTTTAGAGAGTCCCATCTGGGCTTCCTGAGACAGTTTCAAGGTGACCTTTGAGCTGTTTGTTCCTGTCTTCTTTTGAGAAGTGAGAGGGAAGACTTCCAGAGCCGTTTTTACAGGAAACCAGTTTCTGGGTCCGATACCCACACATGTGAAGTGAGCAGTGACCCCATCTCCTCTACTCATAGACTCGTTCTAAGGAGATGGCAGGATACGCTTTGCAAAGACCAAAACCAAAAACATCCATAAGATGTAAAGAGACAAAAGAAGACTTTTTTGTTCCTGGTCAGGAGACAAGATGAATACCAGCTTTATGGGCTCCCGGGCCTCTGCCAGGCATTCCGGGTCAGAAATATGGGCAAACAAACACAGGGGATGCCAGTGGTGAGCTGAGTTACAGTAAAGTTCTCCCTTGGAACAAGCACTGGACTGGGAGTCAGGTGAACTGGGAACAAAGCAGAATTCATGCAGGGTTCAAAGCACAACGTGGGGTGGGGGTGGGGAATGGATCTAACCCTAAGGCTTCAGGTCATTCTCACAGTTCTCCCAATAGCCTAAATCCTAGCTCCCTCCCCTCCCCCCAAGGAAAAGGCAAGAACTCCTGTTAGGGAGAGAACAAAGGCCCAAAGAAGGGAAATGACTTACCTAATGTCACCCACTGAATCAGATAGACTAGAACCCAGAAGCATTACTCTGGAAGCTTCCAACCTGCCCCTCCCACACCAGTCTCTGCAAGTATCTACCTGAGGCTCTCACTCCATGATTAGGATAAGAAGGAGAACTGCACAAAGCACTTTCTATTCTTAAAGGAGGGGGACCTAAAAAAAAAAAAGGAGGGAGACCTTACAAGGTAAGCAGCTGCCACAGATGACAGAATGAGGGCTCCAATGTAACTTCTACCCACGCTGGGGCGTTGAGAGAATAGGCAAGACCCCAAAATAAGCTTCCGGGCTCTTGGATATCTGAAAGTGCAGAGGGAACATGGCCTCAGCCCCCACCCCTATCCTCCAAGGCAGATGGTGCCATCTCCTCTTCCCCCACAACCAGCTGCTGGAGGTAGCTCAAGTGAATTGAAGAATAGGACACATCCAAACCCTGAAACCTTAAGGAAGGATACCTGATGGCCTAGGTTTGAGAGATCTATAATCCTCCAGCCTCAGAGAAAAGCTAAGAGGTTGAGATAGGGACGCATCTGCCTTGGGTGGTTAAAATACTAATAGGGGTAGCCACCACTCATTGAATTCATCCTGTGTATATAAAGTCAGGTATATGCATTATTGATGTCATTATCATATCAGTAGCACTATAGCTAGAAACTACTATTTCCCATTTTATACCTGAGAAAACTGAGGCTCAGAGAATGGAAGCTGAATTCTACACTGCAACCTCAATTCTACACTGCAAAGGTGAAGGGGGAAAATGGGCTTTCACTTTTGCACACTTGAGATCTTTTCACCATCTTTCTCTTCACTCTTTCCCCAGAATGGCCAGATACTAGGGCTCCTCTGTTTCCAGAGGCAGAAAAATGCCCTTCCAAGCCAGGGACACAGACTTTTGGAACTTCAAAGGAGATCACGTCCAGCCTCTCCATTTTACAATGGGAAAACTGAGGCCAAAGGCCAGCTGACTTGCCAGGGTTTCAGTCACTGGAATGGCAAAAATGTCAAACCTGGATAGGGCCACAAAGACCAACTGACAGGTAGGGAGGCATGACTGGTCCAAGGTCACTGGTTCAAGAGGGAGGTGGGATGAGAAGCCAGTTTTCCTGACTTCTAGCATGATACCCTTGCCATGGCACCATCTCTGCTCTCCAGCTGCCCAGAGTCCCAGGCACAGTACACAAAGCAGGCCAGCCCTGACCCCATTAGGTCTAGAGGTATAAGGCCTAAGGGACAAACTTCTGACTGCCCAGAGTGGGGTCTGTGGTCATGCTGTTGTACCACTAGCAGACAATGAGTCCACCAGAAGTGTGTGCCAGCCCCCAATGCCCTAATACAATGCCAGATGAAGTGAGAGGGTTGGAGAGAGGAGGCAATTTACAGACTGCACTTGTGAGGCCTCCTCCTGGTCCCACACAGACAAATGATACATTATGGTCACTTCAGCTTCTTACAACAAATTAAGACACAGGGTTTCAGTGACTCAATTGATACAGTCGAATTGATAAATTCTTACCCATTTCACAGGTGAGGGAGTCCTGCAGAATAAGGCCCTAGCTCAAGGTCATGCATTTATGTCAGAATTAATACATGTTGTTCCCCTTGCCTAGTCCTTGATTTTTTTCGTAAGGAAGCTGGCTGCCATCAGGGTATAGGCCCTGACACTGACCGGCTCAGCATCAGAGCCCTGCACCAGGAACCCAGCTCCTGGACCTATCACATCAGATGCACCACTGCCCTCCTGCAGCATGTCCCAGAGCCTCACACCAGCCTGCTATCACCACCCAGCTCCTGCACGTCCTTGGAGAGGTGCAAGGCTTTCTGCCAAGAGTCTCAAACTCCCCAAGCCCAAATCTCAGACAAAAAGGAGAGCAGAGTCCCAGGACCTCATGCCTTCCACAGCTAACTGGGGGCAGATTGAAAAAGCAAAGACAGCTTTCAAAGTCCCCCTGGACACCACTTCTAGGGACTTCTGGGCTATGCAGGCTCCAGTGAGCTCTACCAATCACCCAGCAGAAAAGGGCACTCGGCCCTGGCAGGGAGACCTATCCTCTGGGAGGGAATAACTTTTCTATTTCCTTCCCCCAAAAGCAATGCTTCAAAGTCTCTTCAGACCAGAATCCCCCTCGCCCTTCCCCCTGTACTTCACCTACTTGATTGTGCAGCAGGCCCAAGTGCCTGGTTGACTCCGACAGCACCCTGAGAAACAGCTGGGTGCCAACATGGGGGTGAGCTAAAGTAAGATCAAGCCTCAACCTCTTCCACTCTCCCTCCACCACCTTAACAGACTTTAGAAATTTCCGGGGCCCCTCCCCTTGTCTATAGTCTGTATAAAGAATGGCATTTCTGGACTGGAAACTGACTCGGGGGCTCCTAACAAGCCTGGGCAGGCAAAGCTGACAGATAACATTCTGGAGATGAAGGGATGTGAGAATATGGGGATCCCTCATGTCCCACCACACTTGTAAGTTTCCTACGACCCAGTCCCTACTATACTCAAACTCCTCAAGCAGGCCAAGTAGAAATATACTCCATCCTGGAACACACTCCCACGAAGCATGTAATAAACTTCACCGCTTGCTGTTGACAGAGCAGAATGTGCCACTCTCCAGAAGACATTCCTCTCTGTCTCACACACAGCTGGGTGCCTGGCTCCTCTTGGGGTCTGGCCCAGCCAGAGGAGACTTGCCAAGCCTGGAACCCTTGCTGAAGGTACCTAGTATCAGAAACATCCATCCTAACCCTTCTCTCTCCTGTGCATGACGCTGGCTCCAGTGCTGAGAGCCCTCATACCATAGGACAGAGACCACAGAGTTGGAATCTGAGAAGGACCAAGATGGCATTGGAGGCTGTCCACATTACAGGAGTAGTACAGACCCTTATACTTATGCAGCTTCAAATGGTAAAACATGAGGCAAGAAGCTCACCTGTCTAGTGGTCACGACAGCAGCAGAGCAAATTGGACTTACCTATCTTCATGAGGCAGGCCAGCAGGATCCAGAGGGAGATCTCAAAGGGTGTGCGCACGTGTGGATAGTCGATGCCCAGGACTGGAAAGGCCTTTCGTGGCTTCATGCCATGTTCAGTGACAGAATAGTTAACAGGACGGCTCTCTGGGGTGACCTCCGGTGGGGCGGTGGTGACATCCCCAATCGAGCGTTCCCTTGCTGGGATGGTGCTGGTAGTAGGGCTAAGCTGGAGGCCATGGCTCCTGAGAACGGGTAGCAGCACCACCAAGGCTACCACCACCAGCCAGGAAGAGAAGATCCTAGGCAGAGAGAGGCCACAGATGCCAGACCACAGAAGCATCGTGCTGTTCCCCAAGCCCAGCAAGCCTCGACCCTTAGCCAAGTGACAGCAAAACCTGGCACACAGGTAGCAAGAGGTCAGCAGGTGGGAAGAGAGACTGGGGTAGTCACTAGGAAAAGTTCATGTTTCAGGGAGGTATTTTCGTAGAGGCCGTCCTCTAAGGGTGGAGGAACGCTGGGTCCGCAATCTGGAACACCAAGCCAGGGAAGAGGGACGAGGAGACCAAAGGAGGGAGGAGAATGAGCCCCAGGGAGAGACGAGGGTACAGGACACCCCGCGCAAGAAAAGGAAGGAGGAAGGCTGGGACCTTTGGCTGAGGAAAGTGACTGAGGAGCTGGGACTCTGGGCTGAAGAGGGGTAGAGGAGCCTGAGCTAAAAGAAGAGGACGGAAAGGGGTGAGACCCAGTCCAGGAAAAGGAGAGAGGGAGCTGGGAGCCCAGGCTGCGAGGAAGGAGTGAAGCCGGGAAGCGGTCGGGAGCTTCCCCACCCAGAGAAGGGCCAGGGTCCAAACGCGCCGGGCTGAGATTCCGGGGAAATGGAGGGAGGCGGAAGGCGAAGGCAGGCGGCCTGGCGGGAAGGCGCCTCGGCGCGGGCTGGGGGCGGCTCGCGGAGGGCCGGCAGCAACACGCCCCTCCTTGCGGCCCCGGCGCGGGGTGGCGCTGCGCTCCGCCGTGGCCCAGCTGCAGATCCTCCACGTCCAGCGCCACCGTTAGCCCCAGCCACGGCCCCGGCGGCAGCGGACTGAAGCCTGACTGAGCCCGGCGCTGCCACTTATAGACACCAGCGAGTAGCCGGCGCAGCGGGCTAGAGGGACCTGTCAGCGCCCTCGCAGTGCAGCGGCCTCTGTCGCCGAGGGAAGGAAGTATCGCGTAGGAAGAGGAAGAGTCAGAGGTGGTCAAAAAAAAGTCTTGAATCTACAGAGATTCTAACTAACACAAGTAAAATGCTCTACTATTTCCAAAGTGCTTTCACATCCACATCCGCAGTCTTATGAAGTATTTCCAATAATCCTTTGAAGGATATATTATTTTAGGTATTAAGTTACCAGGTGACCTTGGGCAACTTAACCTCTCTGTTTCACTGCTTTCTCATCTGAAGAGTGGGGATAGTAGTTGTATCTATATCAGAGGGATAATATGATGACTAATGAGACAATCCATGTAAAGTGCTTAAAATACATCCTGGCACGTTATTATGGCTCCAATTTTACAGATGAGGAAACAGACAAAGAGAATTTTTGGCTAGTAGGTAAGTAGTTGTCTTAGTTTACTAGGGCTGCCATAACAAAGTATCACAAACTGTATGACTGCAACAACAGAAATGTATTGTTTCACAGTTGTGGAGGCTGGAGGTTGGAACCTCTAGGTGTAGGTAGGGTTGGTGTCAACTGAGGGCTATGGAGAAGAATCTGTTCCATTCCTCTCTCCTACCTTCTGGTGGTTTGCTGACAGTGTCTGGCATTTCTTGATTGTGGCAGCATAACTCCCTCCCGATCTCCACCTGGAGTTCTCTCTGTGTCTTCGTCTCTGAGTCCAGATTTCTCCTTTTTATAAGGACACCTGTCAGGTTGGAATAGGGGTGTATCCTAATGACTTCATCTTAACCTATCATCTTCAAAGATTTTATCCAAAAAAGTCCATGTTCATGGGCATGGGGGGGTTGATCTTAACTTTTTTTGATGGGACACAATTCAACCCACAATAGTAGAGGAACTGAGATTTGAATCTATGGTTTTGGTTCTTACCAATGAAATACTGCAGAAATTGATAGTAGTTAGAAAATTTAGAGCAACTTTATCTTGGGACATTCAAGAGTATTATCTTTTTTCTAGGTAGTTCATTTTTATTGATTTTATCAATCTGTGACTACTGGAAAGAAAAAAATCATTGCTGGAAAAGCTAAAAAAAAAAAAAAAAAAAAAAATACCAGCTGGGTGTGGTCACTCTTGCCTGTAATCCTAGCACTTTGAGAGTTGGAGGCAAGAGGATTGACTGAGCCTAGAGGTTCAAGACCAGCCTGGGCAACTTGGTGAGACCTCATCTCTAAAATAGATAAATACATAAATAAAGATCAGCCAGGCATGGTGGTGCACGTCTGTGGTTCCAACTGCTTGGAAAGCTGAAACAGAAGGATTGCCTAAGCCCAGCAGGTCAAGGCTGTGGAGGCCATGAGCATACTACTGCACTCCAGTTTGGGCGACAGAATGAGACTCCAACTCAAAAAAAAGAAAGAAAGAAAAGAAAGAAAAAGAAAACTATTGAAATTACTGAAATGCTGTTTCTATTTTGCAGAGGAGTAAAATAAGGCCAAGAAAGTCAAAGTGATTAGCTCAAGGTCATAGGCAGTTTCACAGAGGTTTGGTTCCATCTGACCAATATTTACTGGGCATCATAACAAGGCCTTGTGCTGGGTTTTGGCAACACAGGGATAAGAAGGAGGTGGTAGTGACTGCAAGGGGGCATAAAGTGGGAACAAGGATGCTGCTGGTAATGTACTATTTCTTTACTGGGGAGGTAGTTACAAATGTTACACAAATGTTGTTTTGTGATAACTCATTGAGTCTCATCGTGTGTGTACTTTTCTCTAGGTATGCTATCCTTCCACAAAAGATATATTAAAATAATAATAGATATATAAAATAATAATGGTAATCCCAGCACTTTGGGACTGAGAGAATTGCTTGAGCCCAGGAGTTCAACATAGCAAGACCTCGTCTCTACAAAAAAAAAAATCAAAATATTAGCCGGATATGGTGGTGCACGTCTGTCATCCCAGCTCTTCAGGAGGCCGAGGCAGAAGGATCATCTGGGCCCAGGGGTCAAGGATGTGGTGAGCCATGATTGTGCCACTGCACTCCAGCCTGGGCAACAGTGTGAGACTCCCAACTCAAAATAATAATAATAACTGGTCAAAGTGGTATGTACCTATATTCCCAGCTACTAGGGAAGGTGAGACAGGAGGATCACTTGAGCCCAGGAGTTTGAGGCTAGTGCACCATGATCATGACTGTGAAATAGCCATTGCAATCCAGCCTGGTCAACATAGAAAGACTCATCTCTACAAAAAATTAACTGGGCATAGTGGCATGCACCTGTAATCTCAACTACTTGAAAAGCTGAGGCAAGAGGATTGCTTGAGCCCAGGAGTTTGAGGCTGCAGTGAGCTGTGACTACAACAATGCACTCCATCCTGGGTGACAGAGTGAGACCCTGTCTCTAAAAAAATTAAGTAAAAATAAAATAATTTTAAAAAATCCACAGGTTCAGTATAGAAAGAAGGAAAGAGGGAAAGGCCAGTGGAACAACTTTTCCCAGGTGCCCTGGGGCCAGAACCCTGACACTGAGAGTCCTTTCCAGCCTTGAAGGCAACACCCACTCTCTGACTCTCCCTCACTCCAGTCCTCAGTGAGTCATTGGGCACCAGCCTGGGAGGTAGCAGATCTCAGGAGGGCCAGGAAATGCCAGCCCTGAGATCCTCCTTGGCCTGGGGAAGGTTATAACAACATGACAACACCAGGAAAGAGTCCTTAGGAGAAACCACCTGGGAGAGCCTGTGACCAAGGCTCATCTCTGGGGAGGCAGTTTAGAATAATAGTTAAATACAGGGGCTACCTGATGCGGATAGACACAATGTGTAGGTTTAAACCCCAGCACTGCCACTCATTAGTTACAAGACCTTGAGTAAATCAGATGCTGTTCTGCAGTTTCTTCCTCCATAATGGGGGCAGCAATAGTGCCAACCTCACAAGGTTGTCATGAAGATATTTAGCCAATGTGCATGAAGCACTCAGAGCAACACCCAGCAAATACCCACATGTATTTACCATCATCATCTTTATATACATGTACTGACGACCTCAAGTGTAGACTTTTAATGTTAGGACCTTTTTTTTGAGGAAGTTTTTTTTTTTGAGGAAGTTTTTTTGTCACCCAGACTGGAATGCAGTGACATGCTCACAGCCACCACAGCCTCGACCTTCTGGGCTCAGGCGATCCTTCTGCCTCAGGAATGTGCCACCATGCCCAGCTAATTTTTTGATTTATTATAGAAACAAGGTTTCGCCAGTTGCCCAGGCTGGTCTCAAACCTGTGGGCTCAGGCAATCTTCTTGCTTCCACCTCCCAAAGTTCGGGGATTACAGGCATAAGTCACTGCGCTTGGCTTGATGTTAGGACCTCTTGAAGTGACACATTTAGTCACAGAGACAATTGAAGACTAGCAAGAAGACCCTTACATACTACCTGTAGTATGCTGTGAATTTAATACTTTAAAATAAGTCATATCGCTGTGTATTGTGTGTTAAAAGTCTTTTCTTGATAAAGACAATCAGTTAAAATATACTGAAATATTTGTAACCTTGTCTGAGCATGTCCCCATTTTTAAAAAAATTACTGTCTCACTCTGTCACCCAAGCTGGAGTGCAGTGGCACACTCACAGCCACTGCAACCTTGACCTGCTGGATTCAGGTGATACTTCCTCCTCAGCCTTCCAAGTAGCTGAAACTACAGGCACACACCACCACACTCGGCTAATTTTTTTGATTTTATTGTAGAGATGAGGTCTCGCCAAATTGCCCAATCTGGTCTTGAACCTGCGGGCTCAGGCAATCCTCTCACTTTGGCCTCTTAAAGTGCTGGGATTATAGGCATGAGCCACCACGCCCGGCCTTATGTCCTCATTTTTTAACCATTCCAGGTCCATACTGCTCTTGACTCAGGAAGGTCTTGTCTTTGCAGACCCTTCCCCTGCAGATCCAGGACAGCCTCAGGATGCCCGGGCCCTGGGTGGCATCTCCCATGCTTAAGCCATATCTGTCCCCAGGTCCACTAGTTGAATCCTTTCACCACAAGTGCTGAAAATGTTATGGAATTGCTATAGCTATGACATCAACAGATACGTGGCACCCGACACATGACACTAGGAGAGGATCCACTCAGCCACTTATTAGCAGTTCATCATGAGAAAGTCATGCTTTGTTTCTGTCTCTCAGTTTGTTTATGTATATGAAAGGTGTGTAGGGTCACACCACCTGCCTTGTAAGGTTATTGCAAGGATGAAAAGGCCAATGTATGTCAAGCACAGTTCCTGGTATGCAGTCAGTGCTCAGTAACTGAACTCATTTCCTTCTTTCTTTTGTCCTGAGGTCAAAGCCCTGCAAGACCTTCTTCCAATCTCCCTTTCGCTCACTCCACTCCACCCACACTATCTCCTAGCTATTTCTTAAACACTGTCAGGCACACTTCTGCCTCAGAGCCTTAGCATTTACTATTTCTGCTGCTGGAACACTCTTCTTCAGATATCTTCCCAGCTTACTCTCTCACCTCCTTCAAACATGTCCTTGAATCTCCAATCCCAGTGTGAACCACTACATGGTAACCCTATGTAATAGCTGATGCTTTCCCTGCCCCAATGCCACCACTACACCCAGGCCCAGCTCCTTGTCCTGCTTCTGCTTTTCTTTTTGCTATAGCACTTTTCACCTTCTCACATACAGTATAGTTTGCCAATTTATTACCTTTATCTTTACTGCAGTTCCCTCCCTCCAGGATGTGAGCACAAGGAAAACAGGAGCCATGTCTGTCTCATTCAGTCACTGTTTCTCCACCACCTAGAACAATGCCTGGTGCATACAAGCTCCCAATAAATATTTGTTGAGCTGGGTGCAGAGGCTCAGACGTGTAATCCCAGCGACTCAGGAGACTGAGGCAGGAGAACTCCTTTAGGTCAGGAGTTCAAGACC